TGAATAAATCCCACTGTGTTCTTCAGGCCCCAGCTCAGATGTGTCTACAGCTTCAGAGACTGAGTCAGAGAAGAGAGAGGAACCCAACCGAGCTGGGCCTGGCGACAGGGATCCCCCAACTCGAGGGGAAGAAAGCCGGAGGCGGCCGATTGGGGGCCGGGGTAGGGGACCCCCACCTGCCCCCCGGCCCACTTCGAGATATAATTCTTCATCTATTAGCTCAGGTACCAGACAGCTGGGTTCATGAATATGGGCCAAAACAAAAGATGATGGGCACCTGAATGCCACCTTCTCCTCTTCTTCCTCTGACCAGTGCTGAAGGATCCAGACAGTAATCCCTACAGCCTATTGGACACATCTGAACCAGAGCCCCCGGTTGATTCAGAACCTGGGGAACCCCCCCCAGCAAGTGCCAGGCGCCGCCGCTCCCGCCGCCGCCGCACTGATGAAGACAGGACCGTCATGGATGGAGGCCTGGAATCAGATGGGCCCAACATGACAGAGAATGGCCTGGGTGAGGGTGTGCCTGGAGTCTGGAAAGTTAGACATGGGTAGGAACCGAGGGTGAGAGGTTAGATGTGTGACTCTGGTTTTTTCCTGCCCTACAGAAGATGAATCAAGACCTCAACGTCGTAATCGCAGCCGCCGCCGCCGTAACCGTGGTAATCGGACTGATGGTTCTATCAGTGGAGACCGCCAGCCAGGTCAGCCAACTCTGGACACCAGAATCCTTCCTCAGAGCTGAGAGAATGGGATGCTTCCTACCCTGTGAAAATCAGGGGTTCGGGTTCAGTGGGTGTCTTGGGCTGGCTACCAGAATTCCATCTGAAAGTCTTAATCTCCTGCCTTCCCCAGTGACTGTGGCTGACTATATCTCACGAGCAGAGTCTCAGAGCCGCCAGCGGCCACCCCTGGAACGCACTAAACCCTCAGAGGACTCTCTTTCAGGACAGAAGGTAGGCAGGCAAGATGTGATTTACCCATCCCTTTTTTGTTGTTACTCTGGGGCAGAGGGCACAACAAATTTCACAAATAAATCTCTTACTGAATTGCAGAGGCAGCTGTGTCTGATGGAGTTTAGACTAGTGTAAACTTTGAATAGGATAGAAAGGAAAGTGTGGTTCACATTTTGTGGATCCCAAGTAAGAGAGACTGGATCATGAGGGAACCAACCTCAGGATCACCAAATGCCAGGAGGGCTTGGATGGTAGAAATGTCTCCCACCTGAATTTCTACTCACCGCTTCTTGCTTGTCTGTTTTCTTTCCCACTTTCCCCTCAGGGTGACTCTGTCAGCAAGCTTCCTAAGGGCCCCTCGGAGAATGGGGAGCTCTCCGCCCCCTTGGAGTTGGGTAGTATGGTGAATGGGGTTTCATAAAACCTCCAGCCTGCACCCCTCCCTTCTCCATCTCGCTTGCTGCCCAACACCATGGCCCTCACAGGCCCAACTGACCTGCGCTGGAGCTGCTCTTATCTAGGGGGGAGGGGGGTGGCACAGCAGCTTGGGTACCCCCCAACCTCCAGGAGCTAGTGGAGGGGTGTGTAACAGGGTCATACCCCCTCCCTCTTGTCCACCCTACCCCCAGGGTAAGGGGAGCCTCTCTCCTTCCCCATCAGACTGGATGTGCCTTTATCCTCTAATGCCCCAATCTCTCTCTGAACACCCCCATTCTCCACCTGTTGGTGGGGGGTGCTCCTTGACCCACCCAGATTTGACCGTTCAGGGGGCCTCCCCTGCTATCCCTCCTCCCATCCTGTACCCCCCATTTCTGGGGCCTCATCACTGTGGAAGACGGGGATAGTAAGAGATAAGTGGGTGGGAGGCACGGGGAAGGTTTTGGAGTAGAACCAGGGGTGTGTATGAAGGGGGGTGACAAGGTCCCCCGGGGGAGGGGACCAACCTTGTCTGGTGGATGAGAAGGCGTATTTATTTTTCACTGTACAGTATTTAAAAAGAGAATAAAAAAATCCAAATGGCTCTCTGGCTCCTGTGCCGCCTTTGTCCCCAGTTTGGTCCGTTTGTTTCTCTAGGACAGACCTGTCCTGACCCCCCCGCTCTTGTTTTCTGTTCCTCCACACCTGACTTCTCATTGTCTCTTGTCCCAAAGATGGTCTTACTTCTGGGAATTCCTGACATTCCTAAACTCCCCAGGCCCAGGTTCTCCCTCCTGGTCCAGAGGAGGGGGGCTTGTGCCTTGTTGCTTCTCCCCTCCCCCAAGTTTGCTGATGGAGGGAGTTGGGCCACTCCTATACCCTGAGTCACGGCACAGGCTAGGCAGGGCTGCTCAGAGCTGGAGCTGTTCCTGCTAGAAGCTGAGAGCCAAGGCAGGCTGCTTAATCCGATTACCTGAGGCCTGGGGCTTGGGCTGGGCCGTTGGGCAGAATGAGGAGCAGGGTTCCCTGACGGCAGCCTCTGGAGCCTGGGGCCCGGCCTTCTTGGTGGTGTCCTGATCTGGCTCCAGGCTTTTCATCCGGCATGCACATCACAGACCTCTCAACTCGAGTTGTCCTAGGTTTCCTGGCTCCCCCCTCATGACTGGGAGGACTGAAGATAAAACTTGCCATAATTCAATGGCAGTCGAGAAATCTAGGTTTAGGGACTGGAGTTGGGAGGGCTTAAGTTTTCTCACTTGGGAAAGGGGTTGAATCACGGCCCAAGCACCTGCTGGAATGACTCAGGAAACAAAAATGGTCTCTCTCCTCGGCCTTTCTTGCCCCAGGGGCAGGTCTGGGATTTGAGGAGCAACAGGCCCAGGAAAGGGTTTGAGTTGGTGGTCGGGGATGCTCCCAAGCTCCTCTCAGCACAACTCAGGCCCTGAGGGCACTTGATCCGCCTGTGCCTGATCCCATTGTGGAAAGAATTGGCTTTAAATTGCCTGTGCTCAGGGAGGGGAGGCAATCAGCCACGGGCTGGAAGGCCTGACATCAGGTCTTGGGTGGGGGGGGGCGTGGCACCCTGAGGGTGTTGGGGGCTGGGACAAACAGGACACCTGGGTTTACCTACGGGCAGCGGATGTTGGCGCCCTTAAGGAGGTGCAGTGTTCTGGGAGGGCCAGGGGCGGAGTCAGTCTTTAAAAGCTGTTCCCAGGGCTGGCCCGCCTGCCACAAACGCTGAGCCCAGGTGGGAGAGTTCTGGGTCATCCGCGCCTGGCAGCTGCGGGAACTCCGGAGACCACAAAGCGGTTTATGGTTTACCCCCTCCACGGAAGGTCGGTCTGATCGCAGCTGCGGGTCGGGGAGAGGGACCGGGGGGGTCCCCCCATTCAGTAGGCCTCAGAGCAGCACCTCTTCAGTGCCGGGGCATCAGACAGCGGATTTTGCATTCGACTCTCCCCAAAGTGTGCCGAACTGGTTGGAAGCAAAGGCTCTAGTTTAAGCGCTGGGCTTGGGGATAAAATATACTTTTTAAGGACCCAAGTTCCTCGGCAACGACTCCAGACTGGGAAGACCCCTCCATTTTCAGGATCGACGCTTCACGTTGAGGGGAGGGCATTCAGGACGCCCTCTTAAGGCTTCTCCCAACCCATGGCGCTACCGTGCTCCTCACAGGACCAGGCCTGGAGCCTGGAGCCTCCTGCTCCCACGGCTTCTGCGTCTTCATCTTCGGGACCCCAGGAGCGGGAGGGCGCTGGGAGCCCCGCGGCCCCCGGGGCGCTGCCCCTGGAGAAGGTGAAGCGGCCCATGAACGCGTTCATGGTGTGGAGCTCCGCTCAGCGCCGCCAGATGGCGCAGCAGAACCCCAAGATGCACAACTCTGAGATCTCCAAGCGCCTGGGCGCGCAGTGGAAGCTGCTGGACGAGGACGAGAAGCGGCCCTTCGTGGAGGAGGCCAAGCGGCTCCGCGCCCGGCACCTGCGCGACTACCCCGACTACAAGTACCGCCCTCGGCGCAAGGCCAAGAGCTCGGGCGCCGGACCTTCCCGCTGCGGACAGGGAAGAGGTAGCCTGGCCGGCGGCGGCGCGATCTGGGGGCCGGGGTACGCGACCACCCAACCTAGCAGAGGCTTTGGGTACAGACCCCCCAACTACTCGACAGCCTACCTGCCCGGCAGCTATGGGTGAGTGCCTGGGAAGCGGGCTGAAGACGGAGGGCCCATGCGCCCCTCTCCTGGAGCCTTGGTGGGGGCGGATGCCGGAGGACGGGAGCCCACCCAAGCAGAGGCCACTCTCGGCCAAGGTGTGGCGGGCACAGGCGCCAGTACCTTCGGGACCTGTGTAGGGTGGGGCGGGTCAGGGTTCTCCCAGAGGGCGTTTCCATCTCAGTCTGAAGGTGATGGCCCTGCAGGGCCCGGTGACGGACCCCTGGATGCGATTGTGTCCTAGTTAGATGCCCTGTTTCCCCCCTGCTTCTGGCCTGTGTGACCCAGCTTCCTCTCCCATCCCCCAGGGCAAGGAGAGGCCAAGCCCATTCTGCCCCTTCCTGGCCTGACTCCCCAGCCCCAAGAGGAAAACAGCCGTGCAGCACGCAAGCCCGCTCCCGAGCGTGCCCCAACAGGGCCGCGGCCTCTCTATCCCCGGGTCGGCTTCCATGCCTGCTGCGCCCAGCGGGCTGGGTAGCCAGGGCTGGGTGGGTGGCAAGCTCTACCCTGTCTGCCCAGAATTGGTCGAACTCACCTCCAACCCAGGGAGGTGCCCTCTAACCTCTTGTTTCTCTCTGCAGCTCTTCCCACTGCAAACTGGAGGCCCCCTCATCGTGCTCCCTCCCTCAGAGTGACCCTAGGCTCCAGGGGGAGCTGCTGCCCCCCTATACCCACTACCTGCCCCCTGGCTCTCCCACTCCATACAATCCTCCCCTTTCTGGTGCCCCCATGCCCCTAACCCACCTCTAACTCTCGTGGACTCAGACCTCACCGGACGTGCCTCATCCTCCTTTTTTAATCCAGCAGCATCCCCTACCCCAGGCTGTCAACCCTTTCTCCTGTTGGACTACAGTGCAGACGCCGCCTGCAGTCCTCCCACGAAAGCCAGGGAGAGCCGCACAACACACAGTTATATTTTTGGTAGTATTAAACACAGTTTTGTATTATTCAACTGAGTCTCCAGTCTTTATTGTCCCATCTGTTCCCCTCACTGCAGCAGGAACCAGCCCCATCTCCACTCCCTTCCGCCTAGACCTGCCAGAGCAGGAACCTCCTCACCCCACCCTGGGGCCCTGCCTGAGTCATTCTCCGTCCCCCTTCCCCCACCTCAGCACTGGGGTCTGGGAGACAGTCCCAGCCGGGCTGAGGCGGGGAGGCAGCCACAGGCCCCCAGTCCCCTCCACTCTGCCTTCCAGGCTCCATCTTCTAAGGCCAGAAGGGAAGCAGGGAGGCTGGAGGACAGGGTAAAACATTTACCCAGGATAGTGTTAAACAGCTGGAAATTGCTGCTAGAGGAGGAGGCTTGGCTCAATGACTGAGTTAATAGTTCATGTACAGCGCTTAGAAAAGCACTCAAATGTCAAAATTTTGGCTTAGGAGACTCTACCCCCATCTTCTCCTTTTCTAAGGATCTGGATCCATCAACCATTTGTTTCCACTACAGCCAACCCTGGCTTAGAAAGTCTGCAAATGCAGAGGAATGGAGGATGAGTAAGTCACACCAGCAGGCTGGCTCAGATGGGGAGAACCCTGAGGTTGGGTGAATGAGTGGAAACGGAATGACTCCAGTAGCTGGCTCTACTCCGCCTTTTTCTGCCTGTGGGGAGGCCTTGCATTCCAGTAGAAGAGCAGCTGGGCGGCGATGAGGCCGTTGCAGAGTGAGGAGACCACAAAGGTCCCAGCCATCAGGGGATCTCCAGTTTCCTGGTTGCAAGAGACAGAGCCAGCGTTACCCTTCAGCATAGCTCAAGAAAGGTTCCCTTATGGACAAAGGATCCTGATGGGGCAGCTTTGGCCCTTAGCTGGGAGAAGAAAGATGAGGTTTTAGTGCCTTCTAGAAGGAAGATGTTGCACTCACCTGAATGGAAGTGAAGATTCGGGCCAGGGAGCCCCCAAACAGCAGGAAGACTGTGATGGCTGAGAGCTGGCCTGTGTGCCCATTGTGGTAATTGGTGGCTGCCTGGAGAAGCTAGGGGAGGAGTTGAGACCTTTGGCTCTGTCACCTGAGCTCCTCCCATACTCCCCCAAGTCCAACACCCCCACACTTTGACCTTCCACTCTTTCCCCTCCACCCTGCCCCCCAACATCTTGTCCCTTGCTCCTGGTACCCACCCTCCCCACCACCACAGCAGGCACATTGGAGGCCTGGAGCAGGGTGACTACAGTCAAGGGCGTCAGAGGTGAGAGAAGCACCAGCAGGACCAGGCCGTAGCAAGCGAGGAAAGCGACACCTAGGGGTGGGGAGACAAGAGTCCTTGTCAATCTCCCAACATCATTTGGCTTTCCCAGGCCTGAGTTCCCAGCAGGGTTCCCAGGAACCACACAGCCTGCTCTTAGGGAAATCCCCAGCACCTTTCACAGTCTGTCCTCTGTAGTGCATGACCAGGAAGCAGATGGTGATCGTCTGGAGCATCAGGAACAAGGCTTCACCCCAAGAGCTGCAGAGTCAAGAGTTGGGAGGAAGAAAGGCGGGCCTAGAAAGAGGCAGGGAAAGCCTCCATAGCCCATCCATCCAGGGACACCATGCTCTGATCACACTTCTCTACAGCCCCCGCACGGGATTGGCTCATTCTCAATCGTGGCCATTCTTGGGATGCTCACCCCTTTTCAAGGTCACCTCCACTGGTGATGATTAGGTTTTTAAAAGGGCTTAAAACTTTCCTGGCCCCTCATCCCTTTTTTTTTTTGAGACAGAGTTTCAAAAAAAAACTCCAGATCTTCGTGCACAGGCTGGAGTGCAGTGGCACAATCTCAGCTCACTGCAACCTCTGTCTCCCAGGTTCAAGTGATTCTCCTGCCTCAGCCTCCCAAGTAGCTGGGATTACAGGTGCACACCACCACACCCAGCTAATTTTGTATTTTTAGTAGAGACAGGGTTGCACCATGTTGGCCAGGCTGGTTTTGAACTCCTGACCTTAGGTGATCCACCCACCTTGGCCTCCCAAAGTGCTGGGGTTAAAGGCACTAGCCACCCGGCCTGGCCACTTTCCTGCCCTGTAACCTCCCTCACCTTAATCCCCATTAGAGTTGTGGGTATTACCCTTGGGGAGGAAGAGTGAGCTCCTCACCTGAATGGGAAGTTGTTAGTGATGCTGTAGACCATGGTCCCAGTCAATGCCACTAGCTCCAGCATTACAGACTGGAGACTCAATCCTTCGGCACTCTTGGCTCCCAGGATTTTAAACACCTGGGGCAGCTTTACTAGGGGAAAGATGAGAAAAGTAGGACTGAGGAGTCTCCATTCTTTGGGATGCAACACAACAGCTACAGAATGAACGCCCACACAGCTGACGGCCTCTCAGAACCTCCACCTCAACCCAACAGCAGGAAAGAAAGATAAGAGACATACCGAGAAGTGAGCCAGCCACAATGCCCAGCCCCAGGCCTTTGCTGAGGAGAATCTTGAGGCAGGGGACTGAGAAGAGAAAAAAGGGTAAGCAGACAGGAGATGTCTGAAACCGAGGCCAGGGCTTGAAGCTCCTGTGGGCTCTCCCCAACCCCTCTTACCCACACCACGGTCTTGCATTGTCTTGGGGGGAGGAGGGACGGAGGGCAGCGAAAAAGGCCTGGTCTTTCCTGCTCCAAACCACTATACTTTTTTTTTTTTTTTTTTGAGACAGTCTTGCTCTGTCACCCAGGCTGGAGTGCAGTGGCCCGATCTTAGCCCACTGCAGCCTCTGCCTCTCAGGTTCAAGCAATTCTCTTGTCTCAGCCTCCCAAGTAGCTAGGATTACAGGCGCACACCACCATGCCTGGCTAATTTTTGTGTTTTTAGTGGAGACGGGGTTTCACCATGTTGGCCAGGCTGGTGTCGAACTCCTGACTTCAGATGATCCACCTGCCTCAGCCTCCTAAAGTGCTGGGATTATAGGCTCGAGCTACCGCGCTGGGCCCCAGACTATTACTTTCCAAAACAGCTTTTCTCCAATGCCTACCACCTGCCACATCCAATCTTCCCTTCCCTATAAATTAACATCCAAACTTGGCTTGACCTTCACGGCTCTCCATTGCTTCCCCGTATAAAGTTAAGAAATGCCAAGTTAAGAAATGCCCAAGAGTTTTTTAATCCTTTATCTCCCTTCTCTGGGCCAATGGGTGCCCCATTTCACATGTCTTCTCTCACCAAAGACAAGTCTTCATACTTTTTTTTTTTTAACTTTGAGACGGAGTTTCACTCTTGTTGCCCAGGCTGGAGTGCAATGGCACGATCTCGGCTCACTGTAACCTCTGCCTCCTGGGTTCAAGAGATTCTCCTGCCTCAGCCTCCCAAGTAGCTGGGATTACAGGCGCCTGCCACAATGTCCGGCTAATTTTTTGTATTTTTAGTAGAGACGGGGTTTCACCCTGTTGGCCAGGCTGGTCTCAAACGCCTGACCTCAGGTGATCCACCTGCCTCGGCCTCCCAAAGTGCTGGGATTACAGGCGTGAGCCACCGTGCCCGCCCCATACCACTCTTTCTTGAACACTCTGTCCCTGGCCCCTACTCAGGGACTAAACCTTACCCTTTCAGGACTTGCTTTTATGCCCTGGCCATCTACAACTTATCTAGCCTTGAAGCCTTCCCCTCAAGGAGCTTGGTCCGGTGGGAGTCAGACTCTCACGGGTCATGAATGCGGCTAAAACAAAGTGCCCCATGAGTTCAAGAGAGGGGCAGACTGACGCTTCCCAAATGGTCTGACGGTGGGCCTTGTGGAGCTGTCTCGCAATCAAAAAGGAAGGGAGGCAAATTATTCCGAAATCAGACTATGAGCAAACCTGGAGGCTGGAAAGAAAGCAATCAGGGTGGCGGAGCCTTTGGGGGTGCAATGAAGGCCCAATTCATCAGGGGCTTTGAATTAAGCTTAACCCTGCTAGCGATCTAATAAAGGTTGGCATGATTTGACTTGACTTTTATTTTGTTTTATAAAAGTTGAGTCTTTTCGTCTTTCATTGTCGCTAAAGCTCAAATCTCACAAAGAAGTAATTCCACCCGGTGACTTCCCCACTGGCACAAATATGGCGTCCTCCCTCTAAGGGGCCCGAGACACTTCCGCCCCTCTCAGAAGTGACTTCCGCTCAGCTCGGCGTGGCGGCAGTGACTGCCGTCAGTCGCCGATCAAGCCTTGGACTAAGGGTCCACGGTCACTCGAGCAGGACTTGGATTGGATGCTGAATAAAACTCACCGTGAAGCAAGTCCCACTGAACGAAAAGTTGGTCGTAGCATTTCTCAGGTAAAAGAATCGGCACGAGCAGCCGTTTAAGCGGTCCATCCGCCTCGGCCGCCATATTGGAAAGCTAGCTTCCGCCAGTCTCTCCAGACCGCCATTGACTTTCGTTGCGCGTGCGCGCTGCGGACACTCCGCCTCCCGTTCTTTTCCCGCGGCGAAGCTGGCCAGTCCCCTGCTCCTCGCTCTTTCTGACGCTACCCACCCCCGCTCTAGTGGCGTAAAATAAGTCTCAGTCAGGGACCATGTTTTGGACGCGCCCGGCAGTTGGAATTCTGAAGCTTGCCGAAGCTGCACGCCTGCGCAGTTAGACCTCCCACGCCTTTGTTGGCGCTTCCAGTTTGGAAGTAAGATTTAAACCCCTTTCTCCGCTCCTCTTGCTGGGCGCCATCTTGTCTTTTCGTAGCACACTCTGTATTGTTCGAAGTTGAGAGAGAAGGAGCCCGAGTCTCCGAGGTGGCGTTGGGTGGGGGCGCCACTAGCTCCAGTTCGCTCGACGTCTCTAGAGGGAAGGGCGCCGGTGGGAGCAGGAGAGTCTGCACCGGGCAGGCCTCCTTAGGTGCCGCGTTGCGCGCAGGGCCCCGTGCTTGCCTCGCCTTCGGTTGGCTCAGGCCTCGGAGCATGAGTGCGCCGGCAACTGCTGGGCCCGGGACAGTGAAGCAGAGGAGGAGGTGGGGGAGGCGAGCCCAGGGTAGGGAAGGGCAACCCTTGAATCACCCGTGGGGCACCGAGCTGGCCGGCTCCGGGGAGCCGAGGCCTGGCGATGCAGCCCCGGGGTTCTCCCGCTCCCCGCTGGCCCGAGGGCGCACCACATGCTGGGCAGAGACTTCGGCGAGGCCGAGTGGACCCTGCAGCTCCGCTTGGGAAAGGGCACCTTGGACTACCTGGTGGGGGCGTTGTGCTTCGTTACCCAGCGCCGGGACGCCAACCCACGGTGCCCACCCGTTGCAAGGTTACACGGATGTCTGCAGGCAGAGGTGGGGCTGCCCTTGTGGGGAAGTCTCTGGCTTTGGAGGCCGGAAGCCTCCCGGGGCTCGTACGGCTGGGGGGTGCTGCTCATCCTGGCTCCCAGGGATTGCGCCACAGCCTACTGTAAAGGGTGGGACTGACGCTCACTTGTGGTGCAGGCTGTGGCCATCTGGGAGGCCCTTTCTAGAATCGGGACCTTGGCTGTCCTGAGAATGACTCGCCTCACCTCAGATACTGGGGGCATGAAGTTAGACTTGGCGGGTGGCCCTGTGTAAGGGGCATGCTCTTCCCAGGAGCCGCCAGTGGAGGTCAGAGTACCTACTGCTCCTGCTTGATTCAACCCCTTGCAGGTGGGATAGGAGCATCCCAGGTGCTTGCTGCGAGGGTTTAATCGGGGTCTTCTGCTGGCCCTAAATACGGTGGACAGGACAGGACATTCTCATTGCTCAGGAGCCACTGGCGCTGCCTTTGGGAATGAAATTCCACAGCCTCGCACTCCTGGCTTTGTCTGTCTGCTGCATCTGAAACTGTAGGAGGGTCAGGAGGAAGGCTGCAGGGGCGAATGGCTCTACCGGCTTGCCAGCGATGGGGTACTGGAGCAGCCAGTGGCCCCAAGAGGAGGAAGGAAGGGAGGCACGGCAGATCCAACACCAGCTGTGCCAGGCTTTGGGGGGTAAACCCATGAGGCATCGTCACACATTGACATTTTCATCCCTCCTCAGCAGCTGCTTCCGGCTCGCTGAGACCCAGCCATGGAAAGCACAGAAAGGCATGTGACAAGAAACTCATGGCTTTTAATCCTGGCAGGACAAGGAAAACCCCAAGTCAAAGATACGCATATATTTTGCTACTCTCCTCTTGGGGGGACAGTTCGTCACATTTAATAAAACTCTCTCCCCTCCCTCCTCCCAACTGCATTATCTCTTATTTATTTATTTGAGACAGTCTGGCTCTGTCGTCCAGTCTGGAGTGCAGTGGCGCGATCTTGGCTCAGTGGCACGATGTCGGCTTACTGCAACCTCCACCTCCTGGGTTCAGGCAATTCTGCCTCAGCCTCCCAAGGAGCTGGGATTACAGGCCAGCTGGGATTATGCCACCACACCCAGCTAATTTTTTGTATTTTTAGTAGAGATGGGGTTTCACCATGTTGGCCAGGCTGGTCTTTAAACTCCTGACCTCCAGTGATCTGCCTGCCTCAGCCTCCCAAAGTGCTGGGATTACAGGCATGAGCCATCGCGCCCGGCTCTATTTTAGTTCTTCAAGAAAGGGAAGGAAAATAACTTTGTCTTTGAAACAGTTGCATGTCAAGGAAATAAGGGACCCCCCCACCACACCCCAACCCCCTCAGTGCCCTGGGGTTTGAAGCAAATGCTCAGAGGGCCTGGTAGGCGGATGGGCGTCTCCGGACGATGCAGAAGGCAATAAGCACCAGGGCAAGGAGGCCAAGAAGAACCAGGCCGATGATGAGAGGCAGCAAGATGGACCGGTCACTGGGGCAGGAGAAACCTGGCGGAAGGATAGGGCAGGTAGGTATTACAGTGACATGGTGGTTGGGATGAAGGTGGGAGTAGGGAATGGGGGGATGCTAGGGAGTAGGAGATTGGTGAGGAGCTCACCGCAGTGACTCAGCAGTGACCAAAGGGGGAAACTGGCAGAATCTTGTAGAGGATGGGAGGACAGCTGCCCTATAGCCATGACAAGCTGGGAGAGGGAGGAGATTTGGGGGGTTAAGAAGAGAGATGAGTGGCTTATGGGCCTGAGGAAGGGGTTTTCAGTGCAGTGGGAGGATTCTAGGAGGGAAGGAGTAGGTAGGTCTTACTTTGCCCAAAGACCCCTGTGTGGGGCAGCTGAGCAGCCTGGAGCCTCAGTGAGAGCAGGTCGAGGTGGACAGCTGGTGAGAGAATGATGCTCGAGTTGCTGCAACTGAAGCTCTGGCCCAGGGGTGCTTGGAGATCTCGAAGGGATGCATTCTGAGCCGTGAATGTCCACTCTGGAGGAGTGAGGAAGGGTTAGATCCTGTCCACCTCCCTGGCCCCAGCTTAGTCCTTTCAGGAACCCTGGTGTCTAGTGGTAGCAATGAGAAAGGGAAGGAGGTTACTTACGTGCTGCGTGGGGGAAAGACACGTTGTACTCCACCGCCATGTAGCTCAGGTAGACAACCCTCTGCTGGAGGTCCTGTGGGGCAAACAGGAAAGCAGGTGGCATCCCTCTTCACAGAGGAAGGGGTAGGGTGCAGGATTGGGAGGGGTGGGGCGCCGGGAGGCTGAGTGAGGGATGAGACTGAGGTCATGGCTATACCTGCATGAATCCAAAGCTGAGGTGTCCATAGGGGAATGAGAGAAGCAGGTGGGGATGGGCACCCTCACAGCTCCCCTGGACCTTGGTTTTGTTGGGGTTCAGTACAGAGATGCCCCAGGCCTGCGGAAGTTAAAGATCAGAAGGTCACAAGATTGCATGCGATGCCAGCCAATATTCCCCGTCCTGTCTTCCTTCTTCCCTCTGAGCCTATAGCCAGTCCTGCCTCCCTCCCCTCTCGTACCCATTTTTAGCTTTACCTCTCCTCCACCCTGGGTTGTGTACATGACTCGAATCTGAATCTGGGCTTGGAGGTGGACACAGGGCTGGGAACCATTGGTCCACATGTAGTCTCCAATGGTCTCCTTGGAGGCCGGGCTAGGACTCGGAGAGGGCGGAGGTGGTCCTGGGTGGGCAGAACTGGTGAGTCCTGGGCTGGTGGCAGTGCTGTTGCTTGTTGGATGAACTGTGGCATTTCCATGACTAGTGGTGGCAGGCCTGTGAGTGGCAGTTGAGGGTCCCTGGCTGGTGGCGGTGCTGTTGCTTGTTGGATGAACCGTGGCGTTTCTGTGGCTGGTGGTGTTGGGGTTGTGCGTGGCAGTCGTGGGTCTGTGGCTGGTGGTGCCTGTGGTGGTTGTCCTGTGAGTGGTGGTTTTGTGGCTCTTGGTAGTCCTGTGGCTGGTTGTTCCAGTGCTCTCTGTAGCCGTGGGTGTCACCGTGAAGGATGGCAGCAGAGTGGCCGATTTTTTGTGAGGACAGTCATTCCCTGTCCCCTGGGCTTTTGGCAGAGAGGAGATGGTTAGCCACCCAGGGGCAGGCTCCCTCCCAGGGGCCCCCTCCCCTCAGCCTCGTTTCTCCTTACCTGCGAGTAGCCCCAGCAGGGCCCCCAAGAAAAGCACAGCCAGCCTCATGGCTGAACTACCTCACCCCGAGTCCAGCGAGGCTGTCTGCACCAGTTGCTCAGCTCTACTCCCTCAGCCCTCTCTTGGAAAGGAGGAAATGAAAGTCTCACTTCCTGTACTGGAGATGATCCCACCCACAGCCTGACTCAGGGGCCTCAGCTCTAGCCATCTCTCTCTTAGTCATTAGTTTTTGTAATTAAGGTAGGGCACTGTTGGCCCCTGCTTCATCAGGGCAAAGTCAACAGGGTCACATGGGTACATGAAAGGGAGTCCTAGGGCAGTTGATCCATAGGGATCCATGTGTCAAACTCAGCAAAACTTGCTTGGCAGTTGTGGCAGGTGGCTATGGGAACAGCTGAGACCCAGGCCCCTCCCTCAGTGGTAGGGAAATCAGTGTCTCCACTCCCCTTTCCCCTGGACCTCGGGGCTGACCCCTGTACTTCCTCTTGGCTGAGGCACGTGAGGGGCTTGTGATCATCCACACCCAGCCTTTTACAGAGGGGCAGCACTCCAGTCAGCATCACCGTTCTCAGAGCCGAGAACATGGCTTTCCAGTGTCTGGGAACTCTTAGATGGTGACAAGAAAGCAACACAGCCCAAAGGTAACTATCTGCTGGTGAAGGGGGGAGCAGAGATGCACCCAGTAGCAGGTGGGAGAGGGAAGGGGAGGTAAGAAATGAGAAGCCCAAACAGGCAGTTTCCAAGTCATTTTATTCAGAATTTTGTGTTTGTTTCCTGAATCAATAAATACTATACAAAACAATGTAAAAATGGCTACCATTTTCTCTCCCCTGCTTCCCCCCACCTGGGGACAACCCCCTGGGCAACCTCACTCAGGGGTTTTAGGGGTTCTCCCTCCAGATTTGGTCCAGCAAATGAGGCTGAGTGACGTAGTCCCCTGAATCACTTTCAAAGGAGCTCAGCTGAGGTGAGGAGAGCCTCTGGGATCTGGAGGTTACTAGGTTAGGGAAATGGATTAGTGTTTTTTTGGGAGAAGAGCCGGCGCCTGGGGCAAGAGCCTACCCCAAAGAAAAGGGTGTCTAAAATGTTCACGGTTCCTTCTTTTTTTGCCTCAAAAAGTGACATTTATTCAAAGAAAAAAAATGACAAGATGTCCATCCCTTGGCTCCCTTCCCTCCCCCCTCCTGCTGCTCCTCAGCCCCCCGAGATTGAGCCCTGGCTGGGGCTGGGTGGCAGGACAACCCCTCAGATGAGGTCGGCAACATTGAGGGGCATTTCCTCAATGGAGGTGTTATAGAAGGTCTCGATGTCTCGAAGAGTCCTCTTGTCTTCTTCTGTCACCATGTTAATAGCCACACCTTTACGGCCAAACCGTCCACCTCGACCGATTCTGGAAAACAAGGAAAGGGATAAGGAACATCAGGAACTTTAGCCCAGGGAGGGCCAGGCGTGAGGGGGTGGAGCAGTGTTCCAGATCTACTCTTACCTGTGGATATAGTTTTCCCTGTTGGTGGGAAGGTCATAGTTGATGACTAAAGAAACCTGCTGCACATCAATGCCTCTGGCCTACATCAAGAAAGACAACTCTTCAGCATGTGCATGAGAGAACACTATCCCGAAGAGACACTTAGGCATCCATGTAGGCAGCCAAGGAAGGCGGAGGAAATAAGCATCCCTGTTCCCCAAAGGCCTTAGGCATGCCAGATTCTATTCCAAGCTGCTACTTTCCTGAGAGGGGCACTGGATGTCCCCTTGGAGAGGGAATCACCTTGGATCAGGAATCACCTTGGATCCTCCCTTCTGCCTTTCCTGTCAATTCCCTCTACTCACCAGCAGGTCAGTGGTAATCAAAACTCTGCTAGAGCCAGAACGAAACTCCCTCATGATCACGTCTCGTTCCTTTTGGTCCATATCTCCATGCTAGAAGAGAAAACAAACCAGGTAGGCACATGGGTTCCGGGAACCCTGGCTTCAAGTAGGACACTTCTGACCGGCAGACCCACAAGGGGCTGGCAGCGGGCAAACACACCATGGCAGAGACAGTGAAATCTCGAGCGTGCATCTTCTCGGTGAGCCAGTCCACCTTCCTCCGGGTGTTGATGAAGATGACTGCCTGGGTGATGGTCAGCGTTTCATACAAGTCACATAGTGTGTCCAGCTTCCACTCCTGCAGGTGAGGGGACAAAAATCAGTCAGGGGCTATACCCAACAACTCACTACCAGGCCCGCCTCCTGCACTGGGCCCCACCTCTCGTTCCACGTTGATATAGAATTGGCGGATACCCTCCAGGGTCAACTCTTCCTTCTTGACAAGAATCCGAATGGGGTCCCTCATGAACTTCTTGGTCACCTCAAGCACATCAGAAGGCATTGTAGCTGACAGCAAAACTACCTAGTGGAAAAAAAGGCCAGCCTTAGAGCGGTGGATCCTTCCCAAGGTCTGCTCCCTTCCCTAGCCACACCTAAAACTGAAGTGGTCAAGCCTGTAATCCCAGCACTTTGGGAGGCCGAGACGGGCGGATCACAAGGTCAGGAGATCGAGACCATCCTGGCTAACACGGTGAAACCCCGTCTCTATTAAGAAATACAAAAAACTGGCCGGGCGCAGTGGCTCAAGCCTGTAATCCCAGCACTTTGGGAGGCCGAGGCGGGTGGATCACGAGGTCAGGAGATCGAGACCATCCCTGCTAACATGGTGAAACCCCGTCTCTACTAAAAATACAAAAAAAAAAACTAGCCGGGCGTGGT